GGGGGGCGGCTTCCTCCCGAGAGCCGGGGCGGCGCGTCGGGGCCTGGGGATCTGGCAGCAAAGTTCAGCCTTCCCCCGCTTCCTCCTGACCTCTGGCGCGTTAGCGTTTCGAATGACAGATGAACTGGATAATAATTTTGTTTTCGAACTGGCCGTGATGTAGTGGGGTAGATTTATCTGCTTGGGCGCTGTTTAACCAGTAATGCGTCAGTCAAGCTATCTGCAGATTTTATTTTCCGTGTGTTTACAAAATGGTAGCTGGCTATGTTCATAAGCTCTTTTCCCTTCCCTTATTTGTGCTTTGAAAACAGTATCCTAAAAAAGAAGAGAGAGTTGGAGGGAGGTACCAGCATGTCTGTCTTCAACAGGATATGGCTTGGTTAAAATAAAAGGATATTTGACTTTTTTTTTTTTTTTCCCCCCCTGAAAAGAAATGGAAATGGAAAATACACAGGAGTTCCTGTGATAGTTCTAGGACTCAATGTATGCGTAGAAGTTGGCCTGTGCTGAGCTGCATGCAGGTTTGGGGCTTGTTGACTTTAAAATTAAGTTTGTATCTTCTGCATCACAAAAACCATTTTGGAAGGTCTGTCTGTAAGTGATGGAATTAACAGTCTCTTTGTCTTCCTCTCTAAAAGGATGAATTGGCATCTGAAATGTTTTCACATGATTGCATTACAGTATCTTTACCAGGAAAGATGTTTCAGACTCATGCCAAAGAAATGTCTAATTTTTTTTGGGTGCGCTTTTTTCCTTTTCCTATTTTTAAACATGTCCAGGTTGTAGGAATATGTGCCAAATATCAGTGATGGTGTATGCTTCCCAGAAAGAGAAGCAGCAAGCGGTGATCTGAATTTGCTTTTTGATTCACACTCTTAAACATGCGGATATCCTTCTGACTGTGGGGAAGCAGCAGCGGACTGTTGTATGGTTTTTGGTTTTTTTTATTAAAAAAACCCAACAAACTCAAACCAAACAAAAGCCCCTTAGATATTCTTAAAAGTTTTTAAAGCAACTGTACAGAGGGGGGTTTAAGCCAGCTTTAGTATTTGACATGTGAAAACATTACTGTATTGCAGCAAGCTACTAATTTAAACAGAATGGCCAGTATTGCTGAAGTGCATATGTTCATCAAAGTAATTTTCACTGCCTGTAGAATTAACAAATAGCTTAAAGACTTGAAGTTTTGTTCTAAGTAGAAGAAAATATTTAAACATTAAATGAAGGTAGAAGTTATTGAAGGTCCAATCTATGTTTTATCACTTAAAAGTGTGTAGTTCACATGAAGTTTTTAAAGTTGCATACTCGAGGGAGATGGCTTTTGTAAAACTTTTTCTACAGGGAACGCATGGCGGTAGCAACTTCCATCTTACATCTTTATCTGAAATGTCAAAAAAGATCGTGTTTTTATGAAGTGATTTTTCCCTTGCTAGTATAAATGCTTTGAACAGTGATCCTTGTATGCACATAGATAAGATTGCTTTGAAAAGGAATAAATAATCTGAAGAAATAATGTATTAACATTTGCCTATTTCCCGAGCTGTTTCAGTTTGATTAGTATAGTTCCATTGTATTTTATTTGGCTAAATCATTGTGTGAAGGGTAGAGCATATGCGTTGTGGTTTTTAAACAGG